ATTATGGTCCTCCACTTCTGCGAACTCAGTAGCAGATTGGATCATCAGGGCTAATGCAGCCCCGATCCTTACCAATGCCAAATTAAAGGAGGTTGTCTGCGCAGCAGGGCAGACCCAATCCCGACTATCTGGAGGCTCTCTTCCTCCGCTGTCCCCCCGCATCCAAGACCCGAGCGGCGTAGTCCAGCCCCATGCCTCTGCCCAGTAGGGTAAGAAAGGTGAGCTGGAATATCAAAGGTCTGGGTGATACATCCAATAGGCATAAGAGAGCACGAGTCTTGGAGTGGGTTCACTCGGAAAATGTACAAATTTTATGCTTACAGGAAACGAAATTAGATCAGTCTAAAATACAAGAGGCACAACAGTGGTGAACCGGACCTCAGTTCTGGGCCCCTGCACAGGGGTCCAGGGGAGGAGTGGCAGTGTTAATCCACAAAAAATTGGACTGTACTGTGTTGGACCACTACGTTGACCCAGGTGGCCGTTGGGTCTGGGTCAAAATAAGAATAGAAAACGAGGACTGGGCGGTAATGTCTGTCTATGCCCCCAATGACTACATTGAACGGACGAAATTTTTTTCCAATCTGCCAGCTTGCATTCTGGATACTGAGAACTTAGCCATTCTCGGTGACCGGAACACTACTTTAAACCCGGGCCTGGACTCTCCAGAGGCAACTCTGTTAAAGGCCGATGTTCCACTGTTACTGGCCTTTTTCAAATCACAAAGTCTAACAAATGCTTATCGTATTATGAATCCGGATAACCACGGGTATACCTGGTATGGTCCAAAGTCGGATGATAAGACACCTGAACCACGTCGATGTCTGGACTTTATAGCAGTAAGGGGCTCCTTGTGGGACCGCTGTATAATGGCAGACTTCACTATTGCCTCCTACTCAGACCACTACCTGGTGCTAGTCGATATTATTTCGAAGGACTTAGTCCAAACAGCCAGACCCCCCTTCCGCCTTAATATGAACAACCTAAAGGATAAGGGGATCCCAGTTTGGATCTCCACACAGATGGAAGGTTGGTTAGGGGCGAAAGATCTGTTTGAATCCACTGAGAAATGGGTTGAAGTGGGTATAGCAATCATCAGGGAAGCCATGATGGTCTTCTCTCGCATGAAGGCTGCTAATCGTAGATGGCAGGAAATTAAATGTCAGAAAGAGGTCGAAGTTGCAGAATCTAAAATGGGTCAAGACCCCTTTTCTGACTTTTATTGGGCTGGTATCAGAAGTAAAGCCCTGTGCAGACTAAAAGCCCTAGAACTTAAAAGGCAGGCTGAATGACTCAACTGCAGTGGCTTAAAATGCGGGGAATTATTGGGTATGACAGAATAACTAAACTCACATTCAGATCCTTGATTCTCAAACAGGCAAAACCGGTAATAAGGGAGCTGGTGCATCCCTTTAACCTACACAACCAGGTTGTGAGTGATGCCCAGGATCTCTGCAATTATGCTCTAGACTACTTTCGTGACATCGTTTCCACAAGAAGGCCTTTTGACACGTTTAACACAGACTTGTCCGAACACTGTACCTTCTGGGACAGAACCAGAGTCTGCATCTCCAGCAGCATTAAGAACTTGATGGAGGCCCCTATTTCGGAAAATGAACTATTCTCAGCAATCAGGAAAATGGTCTTGGGCAAGTGCCCGGGGATCGATGGCCTCCCGGTTGAACTGTTTCTCAGCTCATGGAGTGTCTTTTCCCCTTTCCTTTGTCAAATATATAACAGGACACTGGTCATGGGGGCCCTGCCACGTAGTTTGTCAAGGGTTTCATCGCTCTACTATACAAAAAGGGGGATAAAAGGGAGGTGAGCAACTACCGCCCTATATCGGTCCTCAATGTAGTCTACAAAATTCTTGTTAAAACGTTGGCCATTCGACTCGTTGACGAACTCCCCCACTTGGTGGGGTGGGAACAAGGGGCCTTTGTCAAAGGCCGGTCCATTTTTGAGAACATACTGACCACAATCCAGGCCCTGAAGTTATAGGATCCGAGGAACGCAATGTAACAATCCTGCTCCTAAACATGGAGAAAGCGTACGACAAGGTGGGATGGGCTTTTGTCTCAACCACCTTGTCTAAAATAGGGTTTGGTAGTGGGTTCTCTAAATGGATTCACGCGATGTATGCGGATGCAGTCTCAATGGTCATGGTCAACGGTCACATGTCTGAAGAGTTTAAACTAACCAGATCTCTGAGGAAAGGCTGTCCCCTTGCCCCTCTCTTATTTGTCCTTCAACTGGAAGTAGTATTAGGCAACATTCGATACAATGACGAAATAACTGGCATGGAACTCAACTCCTCCTTACATTGGAAGGGAGGCGCGCTTGCAGATGATCTTACAGTTACCTGTAAGAACTCCACCCCCTCTATGGAGGCTCTGAAAAGGTCATAGACGATTATTGCATTCTTTCCGAAGCTTCCATAAACAGGTCCAAGTCTGTGTACTTTTTGCCACCAGCATTTGAACTGAGCATGGACTGGGGTTTGAGACTGGTGCCCACCGAGAACTCAGAGAGGTTCCTTGGGATTCAGGTGGCACTTTTCGACTGCTCAAGGACGCAAGACCAGTTTCTGTCGGATCGAGTCACGACAAGAATTTACGGGTGGCTACGCAACTATAGACTGTCCCTGCTTGGAAGAGCTCTTGTGTTATCAACAGCGGCTTTCTCGATATTATGGTTCCCGTTGTCGGTATGTCTGCTAGGAGAAGAAGCCTACACGAAAATCAAGAAAGCAGTTGCTCGGTACCTTTGGTAACCTTCGGCAGAGGAAGACCAGGCATTTATATCTAAAGTGGCCTGGGATCTCATATGCTGCCCTTGGACACAAGGAGGGTTGGGGATCCTGGACCTTCGAGACCAGAACCTGGCCCTACTGGCCAAATGGGTAATAAAAGGCATAATAGACGATCCTTCCAAGTTTTGGCTGCTCTTGGCTGAATACATTTTGTCCAAGGAATGAGAGTTCTCAGACAGGGGTATGGTGTGGCAGTGTTGCATGCTACCCAACTTCCTCAGTAGGCGGGTGAAGTCGAAGGTGTGGCACGATATCCTCTACACGTGGAACAGACTATGCCCTTGCTGGCTGAGAGCACCAACCACTAAGATGGAGATTGACAATCAGCCTTTATTTGATAACCCCAATGTCTGCTCGCCCAGTGATAACAGCGATTTCGTCAAAACGGACATTTTATATTTTTTGAACGAAATTGAAATTGTCATTTTTGAGCTGATTTAGGTGCAAAAACCATTACAAAGAGATGTTTGGTGTATGGGGTACGGGGTAAGGTGTAAGGTGTAAGGTGTAAGGTGTAAGGTGTAAGGGGTGAGGGGTAAGGTGTAAGGGGTAAGGTGTAAGGGGCAAGGTGTGAGGTGAACGGGGTAAGGTGTAAGGGCTGACGTGTAAGGGATATGTGGTAAATTGCAAGGGTCAAGTGGCACAGCGTATCGAGTAATATTTGGCACCTTATATACATTGTTTTTGTCACAAACCATCTTGTGGCATCCGCCCCCCCTCCAAATCATATTACGGATTATCATATACACACTACTCACGAACCACTGTGTCCAAAGCCATTCGACAGCGTATCGCGGGTATATCATCAGCAGTGAAAAAGAAAGGTGGAAGTTGACCCCGTGCCAACAGTGATGCGTACGTTAGCACAAAGACCCCGCACTCGTTCGTGTCGTGTTGCTTCGGAATGCCCTCTACATTCCATATGTGATTGAATGGTTTCGTGTCCACCTCTTTGCCTTGTGATTTCGATCTTTCGAATATAAACTTTGTAAACCCGCCGGTCACCTTTCTCGCCAACTCCATGTCGGGGTCGAGGGAGTCGTAAAATTCTAATTTCCTCCTACTGAAGTCATCCACGACAAGGGTCCAGTGGTTCTTGTGTTCGATATGGAAATGAGCAATAATCAAGTCCATGTCACTTATGATAACGTCCTGACACCAGCGCTCTACCTCTCGACCTCTATATCTCATTTCATTGTCGAAAAGTTTGACGAACAAAAATGAGCTCAGCACCGAAACTCTAGGAATGCGACCCTTTCCTTCTCTAATAACTATCTTATTCTTCGCGTCGCATTCTACGTGTTGTATTCTACACCAATTGTCCAATGCTATGGGATTGAGGTAAAAGTTGATGACATTGTCGTTTAACCACTGACGTTCTACAGCGAGTAAAAGGAAATCGTTGCGAGTGAGTTGCAACACCTCGTTCATGTATACGTCGTGTGTGGTGGCTAYGGGATACCTCTTCCCGTATTCGCGGATGATACGCGTCAAGGCTGTCGTCTCCCTCTTTGATAAAGACGAAGTTGCGAGATGCATTGTCCATCCTCTTTTGCACAATCTTGTATCAATTGTTGTCATTTGCACTACACACCCCAAACATGAGGAATACGACATTCACGCGGGCGGATGCGGTAAGAATGGTGAGTGCATGGCAAAATGCTTTTTGGGAGCTAATGCATGCAACGCATGTTTTCAATGTTTCTCTAATCTCTTACTTCCATTTACCACATTCACGTATACAATCAATCATTTATTCCTCACACCTTGGCCACCCTCATTGCATACGTCCGCATACACACATCCAAGTCGGAGAGAGAGAGAGAGAGAGAGAGAGAGAGAGAGAGAGAGAGAGAGA